TGTACTGGGCATGTTGAATGTTGCCAACACGAGCAAATACATTTATAACATTTGTCGAAGGTATTACCAACTGCTTTACGTAAATAATATGCATATGTAGCTATTGCAATATTTCGAGGTGAGACTATAAGTGCCTCACTATGCATTACGGTGCATCGAAAAGGTGGGACACTTTTAATCTCAGCGTACCCCAAAGAGTTAAAAATCATTGCAGATGTTTTATCTATCTCGGGGTTTCCCCTGTCAATCGATTTGAGAGTCAACCGAGGATTTCTGAAAATTTATACAGTATATTGCGACGCCATTGAATACCTGTTCCCTTTTCCATCTAGTTTTACGACGGTTCATCTTTTATTGGATCGTATCCCCCTATCGGAGCAGAGTGCAATAAGAGAGTATCGTTCGCGGGATTTATGAAACATTTTTCATCTAATCGAGGAGATAGGAGATAATTGGGAAGATAAGCGAAGTATTAAAAGACGACGTCTCTATTACACGCCTGATTTATTTCGCGTCGAAGCTATGACATTGGCAGATACCTTATTCAGCGGTGAAGTCACTTGGATGAATGATTCTTTAATTATTTTCAGCCGCGTGCGTGCACGTTAATTCACCGACGAGTAACTCATACTCTGATTGAATAGAAATTGCATCATTTCTGTTCCAACCGAAACAACGTCACTCCTTTTAAATCGTACCTGTATATACAAATTATCACTTTCGTTGTGATACGTCGCCGTTTGATATTTCGACATTGGAAAAAGTTGCATCGAATTCGGTAATGTCAGCAACGTGTGACCTCGATGGTATTCGACGTGCTAACGCGACACACAGCGGCGTTCTCCTCGATTTCGATCGAATCTCGTCGTTTGTAACACCGATACAGTAGGTCGAGGAAAAGACGATATTCGAATCGATTGCTCGGGACAAAGCGTTCTTTCTCCGCCGTGAACCACGTCGACTATTGGGTATACATCGCGAAGCGGAAAATTCTGCATCGAGGATGCGTTCATCCCGTAGACCTCGAGATTGTATCGAAATATTTCGATCGAGCAATGCAAATGTACGCTTAAAGTATCTCGGCGAGAAAATAAAAGCAAAACTCGGGAAGGAAGATAGAGAGGAAAAGATGGAAGGTGAAAGCAAACTTCCTGGTTCCCGGGGCAGATTAAACGTCTCGATGTGAACTGTAGCGAGATGCGAAGACGATCCCTAGACGAATTATCATTTGGTTAGCGTGAATTCGTTCGAAAAATTCCGAGCTTCGATCGACGGTAAATATTGGCTCGGAAATCCTCGCCCGGTCAATATTTAAAGATTCCAGACACACGTGACACTCTGCGCGCTAATTAAGCTGCTTGATATTCAAATACAGATGTTCATCGGGTATACCGAAGACGTTTGTCTTCGTCACTGAAGATCATTAGCGAGAACAAGGGTATCCAATCTGACGCGAGATAAGATCGAGCAAATTCTTCTATTATCTATATAATTCGTACGACTTATTTAGTATCCGCGGGCGTTATTAATTCGTCTAAAATGACGCAGTTATAGCCGTGTTAGGCATGAGTATTTACGTGTATACGTAACCTTGAGTCTATAGACCGAAACTAAAAGGTTCATAAGCTGAGTAAGATTGCTCGCACAAACCAAAGCGTCTGCTTTCGAGCAGACCTCGGTGCCGAGGTTATTGAATTCGATACTGCTTTAACATCGATCCATCGCTCTTTCCTAACGTTACCCGTTTCGTTCAGCGAGATTACGCGCGAGCGATGAAGCTCTCCGAGGCACCGGGACCAGGTGTCGTCCGAGATAATCGACCACGGAAGTCTTCATCGCGCGTGCATGTCGCAGCAAACGCGGCGCGAATCGAAAAATATTTGCTCGCGAGATGATTAATTGTCATGGAGCTCGAAGGAAACGCCGTCGACGAGTGAGAGAATCGCGAAATTGGGTTAAACAGTGGCAATGAACGATCGCGCGGGAAGACCAGCGTTCACGGCGGAACTGCAACGCATGAATACCAAAAAGGAGACACGCTCGAGTAAATTTTGCACGGACGTTCGTGGAAATTAGAGCACGAACGTGGAAAAAGTTTAGAGAAAGTGTCTGCGGCTCTGTCGAGATGAACGTGTGCCCCGGAACGGGCACGTGGATCTTATTTTGAGTCGCGAGTCTCGAGGGCGCGTATTCATCGGCGACTCGACCTGTTCGCGGCGCTCCCGAGCAACGATATAGAAATTGTGAAATAGTGAATGGCGATTCTGCGTCAACCGTGAGTAATTCTTGCTTCCACGCACCGATTTTCCAATTCGATTTCGCACGACCGGCCGCGGCTCTAATTCCGACTTCAACAGTTGGAAGATCGATTCGAGCTAGCTTCCACCATGTTTTTACTCGGTGGGCATCCACGGTGCGAACGTGAAATATATATGCGAGGTTATAGACGAGGAGTCGTAATGGCATTAATAAGTGTTACAGGTGTAATACTATTATCGAAGGTGTCGCGTGCACCGATCGAGCGTAGAAATACGCGATTTACAGCTTGCCATCGTGCACTTATAGGCCATGCTGTTTGCCCAGTTAATTAAATTATCGTACCGTGACTAATTTCCTCTCGCAATTTCGTTGTTCGAAGCGTGCTGCGTGATTACTCGCTAACGACGGGATCAAATTTACTGCACTTATCACGTGTTTTACGACAGACCCGCAATAACACTGGGTTACTTATTAAATAACCAACGTCGAGGTTGCCGGGCATTCCAAGCGCGAGGTGACATTTTTATTGTAATGCGAGGCGATATATCTTCCTTCGGAAATGTAGTTTATTCGGTATTATTACTCGAATAATGGCTGCGAGAGTCGAAAGTCGCTGGCTTATAATGGTTTGCCGAAAACTTCGTTAACGGGCTTCGTTCTAAGACAGTGGCATTTATCGCGAGCATTAACGACCGGTGATAAATCGGAATTTCCGATCGTATTCGACAGCGAGGTTTCGCCGAGCGAGAAATGGAAATGAAATGGAAACGAAAATAACGTTCTCGATTCGAAATTTATTCCCCGATAATTCCCGACACGAGATAGGAATTGAAATGTAGTAACGTTAACGTCTCGCGGTATATCACACGTTACTACGGTGTAATTAGACTAACGCGAATGGGTAAACACGTTCTGTGACTTTCACATTTGAATTCGTAAACACGCCGAGTCTGGAACTGTACCACGGATTCCGCGGGATACTATCAACTGCTAGAACACTTCTAGCGTATCGTGGAAGTGTAATAGGACGGCGAAGAGTAATTAGCAACAACTTTTTACGTCCACTAATTGCGGAGCAATAACACATTTTAAGACAGAGTAGACCGACATGTTATTACGCTAATCGTATCGCTCCTCGTTAGACCGATATTTCATACGAACGAGCAACATCGATCCCTTCAAACGCCAAGTCGATAAATTTCAGAACTTCGATCTCGATAACTATTAAATTACGTGGGAGTAAAATTTCATTCTGCGAGAAAAATACCACGACAAAGTGAAATACAATAGCCGGCGCCGCAGAAGCGACGAAGAACCCCAATTCGCGTGATTTCCGAGAGGAAAACGGTCGATCGTGTCGTTTGAAGTTGCTCGGATCTGGGGAATAGATAAAACTACGATTTTCGTGTGCGACGTAGTTCGGAACTTCCATTGGAGCTATCGGTTTACCCGTTGTTCCGTTTTTTCACGCTTTTTTCCCTTCGATACACTCTATGAAATCTCCGAAGATGCGTCATGCTTGCGGGATATTCCTGATTACATAGACACGTGACCGAGAGGAGCGTCGATGATCCACGTGCGTTCGATCGAACGGTTCCGCGATTATGACGCCGAGTTTTGCATACGTTTTGCATTGTTTTCAAGAACAACCATATTCACGTATCCTGTTCGCCATTGGCGAAGAAAAAACGGTGCAACGGGGCCGTAGATGGCACATGATTTACGAGATTGTTGATTAGCGGTTCGTAATTAGAATATTGACCGTGGCCGCAGCCAATCGCGTTCGTCCGTTCGAGTTGTATCGATCCACGCCCTCGGAAATGTTTCCCACTTGTTACACGCTAGCCATTAGAATATTCTTCGAGGTTTTTTCTCTTTCATTTTTTCCCTATTTAATTACCGTGTGTATAACTGCACGTTTAAAGATACGGGATCCCGTTAATTTCAATAATTCGCTGGAAATCGGCTGTATCGCCCGGTACACTGTGCATATCGACGCAGTAATTGGCAACGTCGTTGAAAAAATCATTACACCACTCGAAATCCTGCCTGACCACTTTCGACCGTGTACGTCCCTGTACACCGTGGCGATTTACGTCGACGATGTCCTTAATCTCTGTTTACAACGATCGCTCCATATCCGGATCATCGGGCGTCAAAGTCACTCGGGTACTTCCCGTAACGATTCGTCGTAGAGGAATGACGATATCGAATCTGTCGATCCGAGGAATCTCGCTCGTCGTCTAGGAAACGATTACTAGAGCGTATAAATAGCTTCACCATTTTAGAAAGTGTTTTTAATAGACGACGATAAAGCGTTACAGGCCTCTGTCTAAGGCGTCCCGGTCCGTTTCGCGAAACCCCATCCGTTCGTTCTAACAGCTACTGCCGTAGCCTTCCTTAAGGACGAATCTCGGTGTTGTAAACAACGCGAAATGAAACGGCTATGGCTAATATTAGTCCCCGATAACGGGCGATTACGCGTCTATCGACGAATTACGAACACCATTGTGGAAAAAATGACAAATTCCACCGCAATGCAGTTTCTCGCAAAGGCAGTTGAACTTAAAACGCTCCCTCGAATAATTGCTACGCCGATGCAAAGTTCACGAGATAATCGCGGTTCGCGTTTAAAAGAGCCAATCCACGATGGACGAAACGCTATAAGAGAGGATTCGAAAGCGACTCTCTGTCATCGGCGTTGATCGTCAGGGTCGCGTGAAACAATCCCTGGCACCTACCTCTGGACTGAATGTGGCGATCGGGCCGCTGCGTTTTGACGGTCCTTTCTCACTTTTTCTCTCACAAAACTCAACTCTCACTCGTACGTTCGATCGGCAAACTCTCGCCTCTCTTCTGTGCATCCGGAGACAAGATGTGTAACGTGTGATCTAGCGCGCGAACAACCCCCGCGTGACGACACCAAGAGAGCGCAGCTCCCGCACGGAGAACTCGCCGCGGACTGGCGCGATTCCCGCTTCTGCACGCTGTCTAACCCACGGCTGCCAGTTTTACCGCTCGGCTCCGCTGCGAGTATAGCGCGTGTCATTGATGCGAGCGCGGATGTACGGTCGCGTTGCTTTCACGCTCGCGGGGAACCCGATTCTTGAACGCAGCGATACCCTCTGTTCGACAGTTCGAGCTTCTTTCGATTCTTGCATTTCGCGTGAGACACGTAGCAATACCCGTCCGTGTAATTATGCACGATGACGAAACCGCTTTGTTACAACGATGGCGAAATTGGTGACACGAACTCTGACGAATCGGGTTTCGTTGTTGCGTATTATGGGCTACGTCACAGCGGGGTCGGGAATACGACCCTCCAGTAGGGGTGCGGATCGATGTCTTAGGGCTGCAGGTCCACCAAGGGCTGTACAAAGGAACAGCCTTCTGGTTTAGGGTCTGCGAGATGGAAGAAAATAACGATTCGAAACTAACCAGCACTCAACTGTGCCATAGAAAAATGGAAAATGTTGATTTCAGAAGAGACTGAGAGAGCAAGAGAAATTTTAATACGAATGTAAAATTATCGCTTAAAATTTGTTTGACGGTCTCTTTGTCTTTGGGGTCTTAACACTAGAACTACCAGTTTATAACGTGCAAATATATATAGTACTCGCAATTGGTATTAATTAATATATCGTGAAAATGAAAGAGCATACGTAATTTTGACCCCATTTGAACAATATCAGTCGTATATCTTCAGCAATGGCGAAAATAAAATATCCGAAACAAGTCAATTTAACCCTCATGGTAATTCTAGTGTTAAATTTGGTTACTTCGACTAAAGACTGATTTTTATGTATTCGCTATATTCGTGTCTTATATAATAGTGTAGGAATTAGACTACGTGAGTGTATTATACAGAGTGCTAAAAACCTAAGAGTAGCCTAAGAGTTTCAATTTGGTATGCTTCGAGGAAAAAATTATTTATCAAAGTAATTTTGAAGATTGACACTTAATAGAGTGCAATGTAATTTTCATTCCTCTTTTTATTAGGAATTCAAACTCTCAAAGATTTTGTGGAAGATCGTTTTGCGAATACGTGGCCTCGAGTTTGACGTACGATTTGGATAATAAATTTTTCATTAATTTGTGGGGATTATAGACTGTAGAACATACTGTTTCTTTGAGAATTTTTCTAGAATGTAAACTATTCCATTTTTATTGCTCTCCGATCGTAAATTAATCTGAAGTTTAATTAAGATAAACCTCCCATTGAATGTTTTGATCGAAATTACATTTAGGAGCGTTTGGCACGTGTCTGGCATCGATCGTCTGGGACTACTTATGCTTAGTCAGTCTGAAGCATGTTGTGACTTCGTAAAATTTAACACAGGAGATTGTCAGAAACTCGGTACACGGATATTTCATCAGTGTCGTCGAGCCACGTATGTCCAAAACGTAATTATACGAAAAGGAATGAAACGAAAAAGGTTTAAACGAAAAGGAATTACGCGAAGAATGAAAATGATATACGATCCGCCGAAATTCAAGCTCGCGATCCCAATTTTTGTCGAACATTATTAAATCCACGTTGGAATAAATGTAAACACGGCGAACTTGGAAATATATATTTTGCAACGCAAACTTTCTTTTCGCAGTTTCCACGGTCGGCCATAATCGATCAATTCCAAAGTTTCGCGTATACTCCGTGGAATATTCCACTACTCGCCAAATCATCATAATTTTACGTCTAAACGATAACGAAATAAAGGCGCGAGATAAAAAGCGACATTTTGTAATTCGCCAAAAGAAATATTCGCATCCAATAAACTGGATATGATAATTTTCCAGCCTGGTCCTTCAAATCCGAAATATCAGCTCCTTTTGCATCATCGACTTGCATGTTTTCCTACCTTTTTTTCAGATACCTCGTGCAGCGTATACAAACATTTGCAAGTATGATTCATCTACGTTTTTATTGACAATAACTTTTAACCGGCCATTATCTCGCGAATGGTACTAGCGCTTCCAAGCATTATCTAGAACTGCAAACAATGTCGCGAAGATAAAGAAACGAAACGACTCCGCGTTAATCCAACGTGTTGGTCTACGTTTGTGTGTAGCGACGAGAAATCGTCGGAGAACACGACCAAGAACACAGACATTAATTTCAATTTATCGTCTATTACCGCTTCTCAGTTGACCTGTGCCATCTAATTGAGACGAAAGATGCCGAGCGTTTCTCGTGATCGAGGAGGGAAAAGAAAAAGAAAAAACGAAGCCACGTAGAGATGTGTACGTGTAAAGGTGTGTATACACTTGTTGAATATCCTCGTGTCGTATCACCGTTGTGTATCATTCAGCGATACGATACCGTGCAAGGATTCGTCATTTTTTCCTGCACCACTGATGGGTATTCGTATCAAAATGATACGACTCGATGGACGAAAAAGGCATCGATTCTCCCTGTATTCTAGAATAAATTCCTCTCACTAGATACCTGTGACATCTATCATTCTCCTACAGCAAAGATTTTCAATCGCTATGAAACGATTATTAAAATTTTCTAAAGTACCAAGATGTTCACAAAAGGGGAGAAGACGTATACGAAACGAGAGTTGAAAATTATCGTTTCAGACGATATGCTTGGGAATAAGAGAAGAAACCCACAGCGTTGGCGGATACAAAAAGCGTACAGAGGAGAAAAGTATAAATCCAGTTTGTCGATTGACTTAAAGATCCAGTCTCTGAGTGAATTGTACAAAAACCTAACCAGGAAACATCCTGCTGATTTTCTTAAGGGCTACCAGTATTTCATCTTTTTCTTGCATCGATTTACCGATTCGTTAATTTCTTCCGCGATTTCTTCCCATGCATTTTCTCCACTCATCTCGGTGCAATGATCCAGATGTTTCAAATTCCAGACTATATCCACTCCGCTTCCGATCTCTTCCTTATTTATCTCTATTATCAAATTATCGTGTACAATTATGCACATGCTGCGAAGAAACTTCAAGAAACTTCAAGAATAACGGAGGATGTACGAATACTCAGACGCCCACGACAGAAGTGTAACTGATCCAGAATCTACAGCTAGAACGTGCAATGCTACACTCTTCATCTAAACTAAATTCGTTCGCTCATTGCCAGTCAAACATCGTCTCGTTCCTTTGACGACGAGAGACCGAAAAATAAGAGATTCATCCGGTTGTCCAGCTTCATACGGAATCTTGACAATGATACGATGCTTACTCATCTATGTTATACTAGGAGAATTCATGACAAGTGTATATACGCACCTTAAGATGACGAGAGGTCGGGAAACGTCTCGAGACGACCGGTTGCTCGTTTCGAGGTTCGCTCCGCATCGTGGGCACGTCTCAGCCTCGTTTGAGCTAACGGTACAATTAACGTTCACGGGACGAGACGACCGTTTCGTGTCTCGTTCTATTTGTAAACTCTCACCGGTGTGCCTTGTTTCGTCGCACGCCGACGCCCAGGTATAGGATGAGTCAGCCGGCTCCTGCAATCTAAGACATTTTCAAAGTCATTAATGTTGCAGAAAATTGCTGTACGTTATAAGGAACGCGTAATAAATGGCTCACGTGTCATTGTAGACCGTGTCTTTTAAGTAGCACGGAAGGTCAACTCCGCCATCTTTTTTTATTACATTACGATGGAACGATGACGTCAACGGTCGAAATTTATAGCACACCATGAGTATCCAATGAGCAAAGATACCATCTAGATGTTGCGGAATTCTAATTCGAGCAGGCTTCATACGTCGATGTACCTGAAATTATAAGCATCATGTTAGTACGACTCGCGAAGATGTCATTTCCGGTACTTTAAATAAGGTACGACGTACCCGAGAAACCAAGTTCAGCGTTTAAATGTGTTTTGAAACGGTAAAATTTAATTACTTTATCGATGAGGTATTCAAATGCTTCCTTAAGTAAGTCGACTAATTATTAGAGTAACCACAAAAATTAGTGAAGCAAATTTATCATCGAATGGTTTGGCAAAATGCTAAAATGTCGCTAATGAGGAGATTATAAAGGGAAATAGTAGTTGGAAAATGCGCGACACGTTGTGTTTAACGCGGTACAAAATTAATTTTAATAGTGGTACGAAATTGAAAAGTTCGGGCACTTCGCTGTGTCTCATGTCTCACCTTGTATATGACTATGACTCACTTTGTCCCGTCGGTACACAACGCCTTACACCATTGTTCCTCTGCCCAATTAAAGCATTTTCCCCTTGGCTGAGAACTTTTACCTTTTTTCTTCTTATGATTTAATAATGACTTTCTTTGACCACTCCTTCAGATAATGCAGCAAAACGAAACTTTCTCTTTGCCGACGTTATCGATAAAATTGTTTGCGGTGCTTTAACTTTCCACGTATCGTTTGACATCGTCAAACATCACTCTCATTTCGAAACTATTTTTATGGAAAAGTTCGTTTTCGTGTATAGATTCGATGCGTCCTTAAAAAGCAAATCGGAGAAGTATATTTTTGGCGATGAACGATAAAATATCGTCTACTATACTATTTATAAGCCGTTTTAAGTTCGCATCGTAATTTTAAATTTGCTTGTCGATTATTGCTTCATATACCGAATAGAATATTCAGATATTTCTTAGGAGTTGAGAAACGAGGGAGCAAGTGGACGTAAATTTTATCTATATAGTTGCTGTGACATAAATCCGTCTGAAGACTTTCGAAATCGAATTCCAAAAAATGTGACTTCATCGAGAAGAACAGGCCACGTAATTTTGCTCACCGTCTGGTTTACAAGGAAAAAATTGCCACGAGCCACGAGAAACATTTAGCATTCTCCTAGAACGCTGATAGGTTGACATTAATGAACATAGGGCATCGGTGTACATAGAATCATTTTTTGCGTGAAAAATTATCGAGTTCCATCGATACGCGTAATTTAACCATGAGCTAGCCTTCCGGTAAGTTCAGATAATGGTACAAAGTGATGAAAGATTCCACTGTTATGAAAGATACTATGTAT